TCGCCGTCGCCGTCGCCGTCGCCGTCGTCGATGGCGGGGGTGGGAGCGCGGCGAAGGGGGGCAACGAGACGAGGCCGGCCAGCGTGCCGGGACACGGTGTCAGGTCGAAGTGGAGGAGGTCGCGGGCGTCTGCGTGGCCGGCGTCCGAGGGCGAGGCGGCCGCTTGGGCGAGGCAGTCGAGCGAGCCCGTCGCCGTGAGGCAGGAGAGCAGGCCGAGGTTCTGAAATGTGAAGAAGAGGCAACATCGGAGCGGTGAGGAGCATCGAATGCGCACCGGTCGAGGTACCAGGCTCGAGTCCCTCTACATGCAGGCTCTGTACGGCCGGCGAGACGGCGGGAAAACGCGTCCGGCTGGAAGAACGAATGGCCAATGCCGTTTCTGGCCTCCAGCTTTGCTGGCCAACGTCGTCACGACGAAGACCCACATCTCCGCAAGACTACCATCCTCGAAGCGAACCAGGCCATGGCAACCTCAATCCCTTCACCTGTCCGTTACGAAGGCAACGAAACGCAAGAGAGCCCAGCCAATCCTCAGATTTCACACCACCTTGGACACATCGACCGACTGCTTGTGTGGCCGTCTCTTCTTTCACTCTGCCTCGGAACACAACTCTCCCATGAAAGGGTTTTCAGTGCCTGTATGCTTGTGGGTGTGTGGACATTTGCGAATGAATGCTGTGAATGCTGGTTCGGACGTGGATGTGTGGATGTAGGCAGTTTTCGGGTAGGCTTGTGTGGCGATAAGTGTGAACGTGAGTTGGGAAGTGTGCATAGATGTGGGAATGTGTGTGTGTTGGTGTGGACATAGGTCCTTGTAGGCGGGATTGTTGGTGTGTATGTGGGTTCCTGTCTGGACGTTTGAAGGTGTGCGTGTGTCTGACTGTCTTTATGTGTGGATGAGTCAAAAAGAAGGTAAAACCAGACGCGAAATCGGAGATCCATACAACTCACAATGTAAGCTTAAATGTGTAGCATACTTGATCTTGCGTCTTCTACCATATTCTCAGGCGTTGCTTCAGCGTCGTTAGTGTGTGGCTCCAATCGAAACAAAAATTGACTAATTATCTCCTCAACTCCTCCTACCCTCCCCCCCTAGCATAGTTTCTAGCGTTGTAGCCACATGCCTAAATCCCACTTCATTGATGCACCTTCTTGTACCTTCGTATGACTCAAGCTATTTCATGTGTGCTTCAACCCTCTTCGAGAAGGTCTATGAAGACACAACCACCTTCACCATCGGTTTCGCATTCTGTCTAATGAGTCAAAGAATCATGCTGCCTTTGAAGCCAGAAGCTAAAAGTAATAAAACCGTTTCTGAGAGCGTACACAATGTAACATGTGTCAGGTGCCAGTTATGTGAATAAATCCTCAAGTATGAAATGTATACTGCGGTTGGGACGAAGGGAGTCTAATTAGCCAGTCAAATAGAGCAGGTGGAAACAGCTGATAAGAGTGGGTTGAAGCAACAGTTGGAGTCAGCAAGGTTCGGCGACAAAAGGCAAAACCGATGTTGAAGGTTATTTCGATTCACATAATTGTCCATGGCGATGTATGAGCAGAAAAAGGTGAAAATAATCGGCTGTAAGAGCTGTCATTGTGAAATAAGGAGGCATTTGGGAATGTACAAATTCGACGACCAAATTAAAGGAATTATCGAATTTAGGCCCGAAGACGCAGAAATGGGTGTCTTCTACAAAGTCGACATAATGCCACAACAGAGATGCATACACACATGGTCAAACGAAAGCTACAGCAAAAGCAGATTTCCACCAAATCTGACGTGACAACATCTTGTCTCTTCCGTCTACGATTTAATTCCACTGAACTATGGCCCGACTATGGCATCTTCAAACTTCTCACAAATGGCCAAACACTCGATGGTCGGCAAGACGATTAGGTCGAGTTTTGCCGCAGCCCTGGGACCGGATATGACTTTTCCGCCACCTCGGCAGGCGTCGGATTCTCTACCTAACCAATCCGGGTCTGGCCGGATTCGAACCCCGGGTCCATCAGGAGTCGACAGACGAGCCGAAAATCTGTGCTCTCCCTCCTTTGGCAACCCATCCTCCCCGCAACCAGTTCGTCTTTGGACGATTTTGTTGATGCTAATTATGAATGTTGAGTCGAGGTGGGACTCGATCCACAGCTTTCGACCCAACACCTCCCGTCTCTGTGGCGCACATCTCGACCACCGCACCGGCCTGCAAACACGAATCTCACCTACAGTTTGAGTCGGACGACGGACAAACTTTCGCCTGGACCCGCCGCCCGATTGACGTCGGAAGAAGACGCGATGCAGCCTGCCAATGGTCGCCGGGTCCGAGTCCCGCATTTTCGGTACTCGAGGCTTCGAGCAAACAGCTCCATTTGCGGTGGCCAGATTTGGCTCAGGCGATACGCGGGACAATCGTGCGGACACCACGTGCACCAGCGCGTGGGCAAATCTTCCCATGACTCTTGTAGTTATGACGACCGCGCTAGCCGGAGGACTGGCAGTTGGCAGGCCAGAAGATGGAGGCCTCTTCAAGGATGGCCGATAGCGGCTGACCCGAGTGGGACGAGAAGATGACGGAACCTTTGGCAGACGTTGGAACACGTGGAGTTGGAGTAATGAACAAGTGCTGGGAGTCGGGCCAAAGGGTGGTGAAATGGAACTACAGAAGAACGAGAAGTTGGGTTTTGATTGTTGCTAAGGCTGGCACGGGTCGCTGAGCCCGTCATTGAAGCGTCTATGAGGGCATCGGTTCGACGCTAAAAAGTTGCACGACTCAGCGGACAGTTGAGGACATCCCGACCGATTTGCGAAAAGAGCAGGAACGCAGCATTTTTGCCAACTGATTTTCATTTTTGTGGTATTTCGAGGCTACCAGTAGATGATCTGATATAAGCGTCGTATTCACGCTATTTCGTTTGAGCTCAATGTTCCCACAATCACATCACTAGACCTCATGTTTCCCATAAATTGCACATAGTAAGGCTTCACAATGGTCTTCTCATTCAGGCAAGAATGGACTACCTTTTAGACCTCGCCTAAACTGGTCTCATCAACAGCCCCCGCAGGACACGAACCTGGATTGTGGAAGTGCAGCGTATAGACGATTGTTATAATAAATGCAAATTTTCTTCATGTGATATGGAAAATTTCTGTTGGCCAAGGAAAGTTGGGTTTCGATGCAGCTCTTGTTTCATAATTGTTCAGCTTACTTCTTGACTCGAAAGCTTGAATTTTGTTGTGACGATATCACCTCGCTCGGATGATGTCCGTCATGTGACGGGCGAAAGCTTAGCACCTTTTCACCGAAATCGAAAGAGATTGCCTCGGAGACAGCGTCAGCATGAATGTTCCAGTAAAGTCAATCGACAGCTGGTCAAGATGAATCCGCCGTCCTCTTCTGGTGGAACCGACCTTCGAATCTCTTCAGCCAACACTTTCACTCGAAATGTAAGTAAATTCATCAGATTTCTGTTTGACCTGTAACAGTGTGGCGTAGTGCTAACGTGCAGAGACGATATGCTGCACGAGCAAACCTGGGTTCGAGTCCCACTGGGAGTGGTGATGAGACCAGTTTAGGCTGGTTCTAAAATGCAAAATACCTTTTGGGGTGTTTTTATATGTGAAATGCATGCGAAGCATTAGGCATATTCATGCGATTGTGGAAAAATGTAACTAAAACCTTTAAAGAAATAGAATGATTACAACTCTTATGTATTTTCCCAAACTTTCGTAGATCCAGCGATGCTCAGGCGAGCTGTGAATTGGAAGGTGATCCTTTATTGTCCATATTAAAGCACCAATTTGGAATTCTGGAAAGCAGAGTTACTTCATATATCCCTACTTGCACCAGCACTGAAGGTGAGGAACTTTTCCATAATACTATTGAAATTTTCTTAGCATTGCCTCCCGAAAGAGATTCTCATCTCAGTTCGACTTTGAATGGGTCTTGCCAGCCCTTCCTCCCCTCTCCAGTAGGATCGGGGAACTGGTGGGCTTCCGATGAGTCAGAGGCGGATTCGAACACTTAGTCCTTTCCAGCTTGGAGGAAGATGCTCTTTTGGAATATTCCCAGTAAGTAGGCTTCGAAACCATCTGCAGATCGTGAATGGGTTACATGTGATGAAGAATTGATAGTCGATTACTTCCACAATGAGATGAGTCGGACTAACCGCACATGAAGTATTGCCAACATCAGTTTCTACCTCGTCTGGCCTCCATCCCCCCAATTACCACCGCCTTCGTGGTACTTCCAGGTAGTGGCAACATGCCGAAAGTGGCACCACATGATGGGCTCGATTCCTTTCGGGAGTGAAGATGAGATCTGAACGAGGCCAAGACTTCAGTTGAGTCCTTCCGAAAGGAGAATAGCTTTTGGAAGGTGAGTGGAACCTAGTGTGAACCTAGTTTTTAGTCAAGATCCACCGATAGTTGTGAAGCCTACCTACTTTTTGTGCACATTCCAAAAAGGTGTTCTCATCCCGGCAGTTGTGCCCCACTTGTGAGATAACTTAAAGCGATTTACAGAGAGATTGTGAATGTTTTCCCCATAAAGATATCGATACCCAATTATTCACTAAGAATAATCGGCAATTATTATTCAAAACTTCGAAGAAATGAAAACAATTCAATTGGGGTGTGAAGGTTTCATGTCGCTCAAAGGAGCACACGACACTATATCATAAATAAGCACAGTAAAAATTTTAATAGTCAAGGTATGATAGGATGCTACCGGAAAGGCGAATAACCCAGGACAGAAGGGTAGATACCACAATTGTTTATCACACGTTTGGTCAAAGGATAGGCGACGAGTTGTTGTATGGTGCTAAGAATGGCGATACTTACTGACGATGCCGGCGAAATGTTTGGTAATGTACCACGTACACGGTTCAACTTTGGAAATGAACATGCAGACAATGGACTCCGGACTGCGTGCGTTCCTCTAAGTCTTCATGGCAAGCTAAAACAACTTCTATACAACGAAAGGAAACTGCGACCACACAAAAGGTCACACCATCTTGGTCTTCATAGCTTCGAAAACAATTCATGTTCGGTAGATCTTGAATATGAGTTTAGTCAGCCTAGCTTGCTTACAGCCATAAAGGATTGATAGGGAATTTTCTTGATAATCATATGAGGAGGCAATTGACTTTCAACTGAGCTAGTCCACTCGAGTTGGGAGGATAATACCATTTTGGGAGCAAGGTTACATGAAATTAAGTGGTATCGTGAGGGTCTCTCATCTGACTGTGGGAAAATTCGTAATCATTCTAACTGAAGCTCTTATTTAAACTCTACTGATAGTCTCAAAATACTACTCAAAACGAATAGATATTTAATAGAGAATTTAGGAGAGTATACATTCAAAAGATGGCCCAGGTTGTCAATTTCATAATTTGGTTAAAACAAGGCTTCATTAAAACAAGGAAAGCTGTGATATATTGTGACATTGATTTCTATTTCTAAGGAAAAGTTGGTCGGAAGCGATTCGTGATGGGATCTCATGGGAAACCGGAAACTGTTGAATTGTGCGAGGAAATCCTCGGTTCACCGTCCTGCGACCGCGACCAACCTGTGCTAAGCTTTCGTCTGTCCTGTCGTGACAGACATCATTTGAGCGAGAAGGCATTCTTTACGAAGCAAAGCAAAAACATCCAAACCAAGAGGACGGGTGGCCGGCTGCAACCCTAACTTCGCCATCTTAATAAGGCATCCCATCATGTATGTTGGAATACCTTTTATCTCGTTGGAAGAGGTTAGTGTGGGAGATTCGTAAGTTGAGCTCACAGAAAATTGTAGGGCGGTTGTCTTGGAGCTGTGATTGTAGACTTGTGCTATTAGGTCATCGGCGCATCGCCATACCAATCGTTGCTGAGCTTTCATCTGTCATGTGACGGACATCGCCAGCGCAAAAATCTACAATCACAGCTCCAAGGTAATCGCTCTACAGTTTCCGACGAGACCAATTTCGAATCCGCTCCACTCGCCTCTCCAAACAAATAAAAGGTACTCCAACATCAATCAATCTATTAAGGGACTCTTCGAAACCCAATTTTTCTACATATTTAATGGTTTAGTTGGCTACCTCAGCCTTAAGTTACAGGCCTGCTGATTAGTGAAGTTACTTCACAAACGTCAAGTTTGAGAAGGGATGGAATGGTATATAAAAAATCGACTAAGGTTGCAGCCGGCCTCGTTTTTCCTTTGTTTAGTACCTTTTTGTTGTCTTTCGTAGACTATGGATTCTCGTACTGATGATGTCTGTCGCGGCGGTACAGACGAAAGCTCAGCACAGGTCGATCGCGATCGTAGAACCGTGAGCCGATAACTTTTCGGTACAATACAAAACTCTACCCTACGCGGCAATCCTCCTTCGGAATCCGGCGAGACCATAATACGCATTATTCAAAACCAACTTTTATCACGAAATAGAAAGTCATGTGAAAATGTTTTTTCAAGAAAACAGGACACAATCACATATGAAGTGTATTCAGCCTTTCGTTTAATGTGAAAATGGCACTGCTTGTGGTTGAATTTTCCCACAATGATGAGTAGACCTTACGTTTGCATTGCATTTCACAGTCTTGCTGGAGGTGCAGTTGAGACCTGGGGCGAGGTCGAAAGTACAGTCGAGCCTGGATGAGAATACTTTTTGGGAAGGCAAGGCTGTGTGAAGTTCAACGTAAACGTAAGGTCTACTCAATTGATTGTGGGAAAATTCATCTATCAGCCCACCCCCCATCACCTTAAACGAAATAGGATGAATACACTTCATACATAACTGACCTACTGGTAGTCTCAAAAATGTGCATGAAAACGAAAAATAACACAATTTCCTTTCTGCAGTCCAGGGGTAATGTGAGGCCTAATCATAGACAGGGTGAAAAAATTCAACTGACAAGGATACTATGGAATCTATTTTCTATGGGAGGTGTGTATGATTTACGAAAAAGAGTCTAAAGAACCTCATTCGGTTGAGGAGTAGAACAGGTGGGACGACTCTATTTGAGATGGAGTAAGAAAAGGATAGTTGGCTTGCCTTGTTGTGTATTCTTGCTGGTAAATGGGGCGAAAAATGGAGTTGGGATGTGTAGCATCGAAGCCTGTTCAATATGATTAGTTTCGGCAAATCATGGCCGAAAACCTTTGTTGGTAAGATTGCACTTGGTTGAACATATTGTTTCATTCAGACGACTGCATTTTGGGCCTCGCAGAAGTGCACCGAACTGCACCGAAATCCTCACGTCTGAACATGTCTTGACTCACCTACAACATTCCGGACAGACGCGGTTCTGGTTCGCGAACTGTTGCCAGTTTCCTTCCACTTACTCAGTTGGATGCATCTTTGCCAAAAAAAGTTGCCCTTTGAGCAATTTTTCTCGATTCAATCCCATTGGGCTCACTTCCGTTTCGGGTGAAATTAGGGTTGGAATAACTGCGCAAAGGTACATTGCACCAGAAGACGATTTGGGATCCCTTCTGGGCCCAGCCGTCGGTTGGCCTTGCTGGAACGTTGCTGTTGACGCTGTCTCCGAGGCAATCTCATTCGGCTGCGATGAGACTGTGCCTCACCGGATCAGGTGAATATTCTTTTTTTTTCGTTGATTAATATCATTTTTATGCCAGACACAATCAAACGATAGATCGGATTGCATTTCGCGCGATTCGACGACCTTCCAGGGCCCACAGGACAACACATACTCGACTTCCGGCCATGAAGATCGACGAGCTCGACGTCCGCCGGCCGAAGCGAAGATTGGGCCATACAGACAGACCCTTTCGACGGTAGCCCCGGGCGTCGAACATCCCAGACGGGATCGTCGACGCACAAACGAGGCCTCAAGAGCCGGAGTCGACACGACGAGAGTCGAGAGACCAACGGTCCTGAAGAATGGGAAAAATGGGCAAAAATGTGGTTGCCAAGGCGGCAGAAACGGCCTGCGCCGGACCAGACACGAGGACGAAGCGGTGGCGATAAAGTGAATCTGGCGATGGGACAAAGAGGGAAGAC